ACTTTAAAATCTTTTAATGTAAATGAGAGAGTGCTTGCTTTGGCAGCACATATAGTAGAGTAAATGAAAGAATGAATTATTTTTCTGTTTTGCTTCTGGTCAGGGTGAAGTAACCATGCAGGCTTTTCTAAAAGGCACATCTGTCAGTACTAAACCGTCACTGAAGGATCGAGGAGTAGCTGCCACAGCTGGAAGCAGTGGAGAGAACAAGAAAACCAAACCTGTTCCATGGGTGGAAAAATAGTAAGAATGCTTATATTTTTCTTGACATAGTTAGTAAATTACTTCTCTAACCAGTTTTAGTCACTTTTTTGTTGTTGTTGTTACTCAGGAGGGGGATGATTTGCTTTGTTTAGATGTCCTTGAAAAGCACCCAGATATGTAAGTCCTACAGCCTTGCAACTGAAGGTACCTTCAAATGATCTAGTTTAATTGTTTTATAGATGAACTAAGGTCTTTCCTATAACTCAGGTCTATGGTTTTAGGGATTGAGATACAGCAAGAGAAAACAGAATTTCTAGAATGTGGCCATAAGCTCTTGGTCAGGAGTTCTACATAAATCCAAATAATCTGTTCCCGAACCTTTCATTACGGATAGGTGGAAATCATTGAGTTTTTGCTTATACATTTTTGGCAAAAACAACACTTGAAGTGGCACTTAAATTTCAATCAGCTAAGTGATATTATGACAAGTAGTTGTAACCCCTGGTGTAGGCTCAATTATTATCAGAAATTTGCAGATTACTTACAGGTCAAATAAGACCCTCATATGTTTTGTTTGGCACTAACAGTGATTTTTAAAATGGGAAATTTCACATAAAAATCTGGATTTTTAATTAAAAAAATAAATTATACAAAGGGAAAAAATCTAGCTTTTCAGCTTCTCAAGAGATTAGGCAGAACTAGATGCAGGTTCTCATTTGACAATAGTTAGTTGGACCTGAGTACTACTTCTCATTCTGGAAAGGTCATATGTTCCTCAGTTCACCATAGTTCCTTCTGTTTTCTCTTGCCTTATACTCTGCCTTCTTTTACTCTTGTTTTCTCCCTGGCCCCTGCAGGTATTTGAATATGAAACTCTAGCTTATAACTTATGCTGGTTTCCCTAGAAAACATTATCTGACCTAAAATTCCTGCCTGGCATTGACCTGATTAATTAGAAATGTATAAATCAGGGGCGCCTGGGTGGCTCGGTTGGTTGGGCGACTGCGTTCAGCTCAGGTCATGATCCTGGAGTCCCGGGATCGAGTCCTGCATCGGGCTCCCTGCTCGGCGGGGAGTCTGCTTCTCCCTCTGACCCTCTTCCCTCTCGTGCTCTCTGTCTCTCATTCTCTCTCTCTCTCTCAAATAAATAAAATCTTTAAAAAAAAAATGTATAAATCAAAGAAGGACTAGCTAATTAAGCACAATGCCTAATCTTAGGGTTAGGAGTATAACTTTGTTCCAGCTTCTCTTAAAATCACGAGTTAATGATGTAAGATGAAAATTATATGTTATTATACTTCATCTTGGTTAAACTTGTTATTTAGTTAGCTCTCAGTCAAGTGACTGGTTAGGCGTTTTTTGTGCAGTTAGGTGATGGATGAAATTGGTATTAGTCAATTAACTATATTAACCAAAATAGTTGCCTATCCTGAGGTTATTAAATAGTTCTTCATTTTCAGCGTAAGTGCATGATCTTGTCGAAATATATTACTTTCTGGGCAAGTGTTCACTTTAAATTTTTAACCAGTTGACATTTGTGGTGTAATAAGATGTTTTTGCTTAATTTTTGTAAGCATTATAGATGTAAACTGCATCTATAAAGGGAAAAATGACTTCACTCCTTCAGTATGTATTAGCTTAAAGTAAATACAAGTGGGGTTTCCACCTACTTCCAATTATGAAAATTTCCCATTTTATTACCAATATATGAGTATTATCATTGATATTTTAGCAAAAGGAACACTTAAGACATTTCTATGGCTACTATAATATACTAAATAATCTCTTTGCGTTTTTTTCCAGTCGTCCAAAATGTGTGGATGAAGTTGCTTTCCAGGAAGAAGTAGTTGCAGTGCTGAAAAAGTCTTTAGAAGGAGCTGATGTGAGTAGCAGATGATATTTCATGTCATTGGGAGATTTAAGATTTAAATTTTTTTAAAATTAAGATTTAATTGTTTTCATTCTTTTCCTTCCTTTTATAACCTCCTGCCCCCCTTAAATACTAGCTGTGTATTAGTTCAAATATTTATTGAGCATCTCCTATCTTATAGCATTGTTATGTAGTACTTAAGTAGAGACCACTGAACTAGACACACTGGGTCCCTTTTCTTGTGAGCTTTGATTTTGGTGGGGAGACAACAGAGAATAAACGTGGAAGCCAAATAAATAAGAGAATAATAGATAATAATATGCACTATAAAGAAGAGTCAGAGATTCTTTGAAAGTATAATTGCTCACCTAATGTTAGGATTTGGTTTGAACTACAATACAAAAAATGAGTAATTCTGCTTATAGCATTGTGTCTTCTGTCCATATGTGGGATAAAAAAAATTCTTCATTGACTTGCATTTTAGATGATTCAGAGACAAGATAACCCCATAAGAAGAATTAGCAGTTTAAAATTGTGTATGATGAAGTGCTTTAAGAGCTCAGTGAAAGAAGGGGAAAAGTTGCAGAAGAAAGTGGGGTGTGGTTTTTGCTTTATTCCCCAGGAAGATTTGCTTCCTTCCTTTCAACCTGGCTACTTTTAGAATTAGAGTTTCTTTTGGCTTTTGCTGCCGTTATTCACTTCCTGGAATTACACTATCAGAGTATATATTTTGAAAGAAGTTATATTTATCAAACTTTAAAATCTTTTTCTTTGCCAATTTTTGTTTTGATTTGATCCAAGTACCTTTACCTTTTAATTTTATAATATACAGTTTTAATTGTATAGTAATAATTACACAGATTGCAGGACAAGATATATTTTAATTAGCCGTATTCTCAACCCTTGAGGCAAATATAGTGGGATTATGACCCAGTTCTTGACTTTATACCACCTATCTTACAAGGCTGAATTAAGAACTTTCTCTTTTAAAACACTTATTCAATATCTTACGTTTTTTTTCAGACTGTTTTGTAAAACTTAAAGATGAAGTAATTTTTAAAATTCTACAGAGTAAAGAAAAATAATTCATTCTTTCATTTACTCTACTATATGTGCTGCCAAAGCAAGCACTCTCTCATTTACATTAAAAGATTTTAAAGTGGAATTATA